AATCAATCAGATAAATCGATAGCATAGGATGCCGGAGATCGGGAATCGGAACCTTGACTACAACTCGAAGCGGTATTTTTCTGACAGACAAATGGAAGAAAAACAGTTACCAAGAGAGAAAGACAAAAAAAATAAAACAAAATCAATCCAAAAAATGCAAAGATATTGTGTTACGTCATTTTTTCTCGTAATTCTTATCGGTCCCTACCTCTCACAATTCTCCATGACCTCTTAATTTTACAACTCTTATCGATCTCTACTACTCACAGTCTTCTTTCTTTCACATTTTCTCTACTCAACAGTCTCTGCCCACCACGGGAATATTGCATTTTTCTGAACGATCACATAGATCCCTCATTCATCAGTCTTCTGCAAATTACCACACTCTTCGTTCCTTTAACAATTACGCCATACACTAATAGAACGAAACTGCATTCTTCTAGCAATCACCCACTCAGAGTCTATCTCCCCAGGAACTAAGAACCGAATATGGAATTCTGGCAGACGTTTTGCCGGTCACATCCTCCAATATCAGGTAGGTGTAAGCCGTGAAATGTGTGATTTGAAATGATTCCGACCAGGTATAGCCGATACGTGTTATGAAATTGATGATTTCGGACATTGAGTAAAATTTACAACTCTAAATTTTAATTAAAGAATTGTAGTTACTAAATCAAAGTTAAGTAATTCTGACTAGGCCTCACTCCATTCCTATGCAATATTAGGGCAATTTCGAGAGCGATTGAAACCACAATATCCGATGAATTCAGGAATTTTTAGTGCAATCCATCTGATCTTTCCTTTAATTTTAATTTCAAATTAGAGATTTCATCCCTGAAATGTATTAAGGCTATTTCATTTAATCGCAGGTTATAAAAGAAAAATGTAATTCTTTCTTTTTTTTGTGGTGGTTCAAATTTGATTATTTAACTAAACGTATATGTTCTTCAACTATAATAGTACTAAAATTTTTCATTTGAAATTTCAAAATCTAGCATATGGAAATTTGTATTTATTTTTTTGAAAACTTACTCATTAAAACATGAGATTTTGTTGATCCTTAAATTGATCCCATTTAATTTCGATTCCTTTTTTTTGCTATATTTGGAGGTATCTTTTATTTCAAATAATAGTCATAAGACCTTTTTCATTCATTTACTCTCAATTTCAACCAAATATTTTATTCCAAATAGGAAATTATAATGAACAATTTACAAATCAAATCAGAATATTTTTCATCACAATGAATGAACTCTTTTACCGGTATATTTCAGACTAATAATAAGTGGCTAAGATGAATAATGAACAATCCAGAAAAACTTGAAGTGCGATGGTTCTTAAATCAAAATGGATTAATTTTATTTTTTTCAGGCGGTTATCCGTATTTTTCATTGTTGTTTTCCTCTTTTTTGAGAGATGAAACTCTTCAAAAACGTTAAATTCCCGAGAATTCCGAGTAATTTTAAATTCCGAGTAATTTCAAAAATTTTAACAATCAATAAAATGTCATCCTTCAAAGCATTACCATAAATGATCCCGGGAATTGGTCTTAAACGGATAGGAACAGTTCATAATTTTTGTAAGAAATAACTGTTGTTTTACTGAAAACCAGCAACATTTTCCAGTAAATTAATCGATTATTAGTTAAATAAAATAAACAACAACAGTTGTATGAGATGATAGAAATAATAAGTATCAGTAAACATAGAATAACAGCAGTGGAAAAAAATCGGAAATGGAATTGTAATTAAAAATTGAAATAATGACATTTTCAACCAATAAAAAAATAGTAAAATTGACTGCATACTGTCAACAATTGAAGTATACTGTAAAGGGTAACCTGAAACTGAGCAAACAAGCAATCTTAAATTTGATGTACAGAGGAGCATTTTAACATTTTCAGTCTAATCTATTGTTCATGTGGCACGTAAGTAATTCATTAGATTTGAATACGGTAAATACAAGATTGAGATATACTGTAGTAAAGAAAACTTAATGCAGAAATGAGGTAGGAAAATTGAATTTCAAGAAATTTTTCTTATGAATGCAAACCAAAAAAAAGAGCTATTAATCACTGACATTTTATAATAGAAGAAAAACTGAAAATTATTTAGAAAATTCTCAAATTACCAGATCAAATTTACTTTGGTAATTTGAAGATTTAACAAAAAAAAGTAACAAAATTTTGAAATTTGCACAACAAAGAAATTTTTCTTTAAGGACTTGAAAATATTTTAGCTGAACCATTTTAAATTTTAAATTATCACTATGCGAAGAAAAAATAAACTATTTGAAGATGAAAAACTATCATTTAACAGAATTTGAATTGATAATAATTTGATCAATTATACGAAAATTTCCTTCGAATATTGAAAACCACTAATTGTTAGAATACCCAGTGCTATTGCAATTATTTCTTCTCTTACCGCCTTTGAATTATTTCGCTGCTCAAATAAAACCTAAAAAAACAATTCCCAATTTGGGTGGTGAAAGGAAAAACTAATCAAAATGTTCTAGAATTTATTTATTTAAATCAATTTCTGTTGTAAATTTGAATTGTTTAATTAAAACTTCATTCATAGATTACTTATTTCTCCTTCCCATTCATTGATTTCAAATTAGATTAAACAGTCAATTAATTATGGTAGAATACTTACCTCTAAAAATGTCACAAAAATAAATGTTCCGATAGCAAGTCCTTCGAGGATGATTATAATACCCTGTCGCCAAGATTCATTCATATTAACATTCTGAGTAAATTAAGAAATTACGAATTAAATTAACAAATTTTTCTGAACAAATTTTTAACAAATTTATGCTATTGTTGCATAATAACATAAAGATTTTAAGAATATTATTTAGGATGAATCGTTTCTTAAATGGGCAAATATCCTAAAATTTAAATAAATGCATAAAAATATTAATTTCATACTTGAGGCAAAGAAAATTTTTTTCTTTCTTTAAATTTGTTATTAAATGAAACAATTTTTTAATTATTAAAATTTCTGCATGATTGTCAAATCAATTTTGTTTTTGTTTTTGCTTTTTTTTTGCAATACCTGTAAAAATAATCCAGCAAATGATCCTATTGGTGTCATTAATGAATAAATTATTATTGTCGCAATAACAATTTTAACTTGTTGCGCAATTGTCCGTGATATTTGTAAACCAACACTGAATGCTTCGATACCTTTATGTAGCAGAAGTGAGATAAACAATGTGATGATACCAAATTTTTCATCCTAAAAATTATCAATGACAAAAAAAGCATTTCAATTAGGCAACTATTTTTCACTAATATCTGCTGCGCTTTAATTAATTATTTTGGATATATGTATACTTAATTAACTGTTTATTTATGCAATTTATATAATTGTTTAATATTTATTATGTTAGCTGTCGTAGTAATCCCTATCATATTTATACATACCGTTCAAATAATATTTGATACTTTTCAATTACAATGTATTATTGATCACTTGCATTTAAGTAATTAAATATATAAGTAATATTATGCATTTTCAAATCATTGAATACATTCAAATAGTGCTATTGACAATGGGAAATATTTCATGAAAGTATTTCAATTAAATCAAATTAATCGAAGAAAAAAAACTTTTGCGGTGTAAAAAGAAAATTCATTCATATATGATATAAAATTATTATTATTAACACTAATTATTTCTAAATCAAAAAATTTCGATTAATAGTTACCTTTGAAAAAACATTTCTTAAGAAAAAATTCATTCAAATATGATATAAAATTATTATTATTAGCATTAGTTGTTTTTGAATTATTGTAAATATCTTTTGCAAAAAATATTTGTAATGAAAATGATTTGCAATATTAAATTCAGATATTCAAATTATTATCTTCTTTCTCTTTTTTTTAAAAATTGTTTCTTAACTATACCTTAAATAGTTCTTTTTTTCTCATCGAGTAGATAGGAAATATCACAGTATAAGAGAAATAAATATCATTAATACATTATACGATTTTTTGCTGGTTGATATGCAAATTTCGATTTCAAAAATTAAACTAAGTACAAAAAGGATGCATTTTTCATTTTTTCTCTCGCTTTCTTTTCTCCATTTGAAACAAAATTTCAAATTTGACATGTAAAACTGAGTAATTTCAAAAAAGTACTAACTTGTACGCCAAGCGCAACTCCTTCAAGTATCGAATGAAATGACATTGCTATCGTAAACGTAATTGAATGTATAATATCGTTTTTTGACTTGCTATTATTTTGACTCCGTCTACGAACAACTTTAATATCGGAACTAAAATATTAAATTTTTGATTAAATTTAAAAAAAGCATTCTCAAACAAATGCGAAACCACAAATATTTTTGAAACACAGTTCAAACGCAATGAAAAAATTCTTCAACAGAGTTTTTTGCGAAAATTTGCTAATAGCATTTGCATAATGACATTTTTATCAAAAATCATTATCGATATATTAATGTAAATTAGTTCCGGAAAAAGAAATCATCCAAATTTGAACTTTTTTTATATACAATTGTTGAGCTTGTTTTACAAAAAGAAAGGAAAAAAATCCTTAATAGAAGGAGGAGAGAGGGGAAAGACAGGATAATAAGAGTTATTGTCGAGACATTTAAACAGAATTTGATAAAATTTCTTAATTGAAATATCAGGAAGAAATGATTTTTGAAGATGACTTTGTACATAAGCGGATGAGAAAATTCTAAATGCGATAATGAAATCCGGAATTGAGGGATGGAATAATTGAAGTAATGAATTCCATTAACAGTTATTTTTCTGTTCATAAACATACAGCAAGTAATCACGTTTAATGTTATTTTTTTTTTTAATAATACATAATAGGAAACTTAACTTACTTAACAATTTCACCGTTACATTCGATGTCTTTTGTTTCAACTGTTTGATATTCATGCAAAGATTCCATTTCTTGTTCCAAATGCATTTCATTACTCGTTGATAATTTCAACATTTCCATTTCTTTTCTAAAATATCTATCTTTCACAAAAATAACTTTTTGTTTTCCTAAAATTTGCATCTCCTTTTTTTCAGAAATATTAAATGATAAAAATTTTGGCTTAGCATAAATTGTTCTGAATATTTGTCTATAGATATTTTGTCATCGAATATTTTGTTATCTCAGAATTCGATGTATGGGTATTTTAGTCTTTCGATTTGTTGAGGAAATAATTTCTCGGTCTTTCTATTCTTCTAAAAATGATAATCTTAAATAGTTAATGGCAATTTTGCGACAAATGTTTCAGAAACACACATTTTGTTTCTTCCTTTTTTCTTTTTCTTAAACATACTTTAAAGTTATCAGAAAAACTTAGTTGAGGGCGAAATTTCTGATTGAACAAAAGAAAAAGTTTTTTTTCTTTGTAAATGGAAAATCAAACAATAAGTAAAACTTACACAATCGCCGGATTTTTTCCTTCTTTTGAAAAAATCCAAGTAAATATTTCTTCAAGGACATAAACACACAAAATACCAATACAAATAAGAAATTCTGGTACAGGATATGTCGTATTCCAGGATGTGATTTGTTTAAATTTTTGAAAGTTTTCGCTAAAAATAATATTTGACAAATAGGCAATAAATTTAAGCAATTTGTAAACTTTAAATAACCAAAAAGAAAAAATATTCTCAAATTTGCTTTTCCTCCTTGTTTCATCTTCAATTATTTAAATTCATTCCAAACAATAAAGTTTTTTCTATTTTAGGTGGAATAATTACAACAGTTTTATGCTATTCTTTGTCTCTAACTAATTATTTTGTAAACTTTGATGAATTATTTGATGAACTTTTGCCAAGCTAAACTATCTCTTGCAAAAATGCCTATTAATGCGCTATCAATAGCCAAATGATGTTCTCTGTTAATTGCATCAATATACCAATTAATTAATTGGCTCAAAAATAATTTCCGTTGAGTGAAATCAAGTGAAACTTGATGGAAGCACTAGCAAATAACATAAAACCACAGTCTTTTTCTTTTTTTTTGTGCGATGTGAATGGGCTTCTTAATTAATAACTGCGATCGCAATTGTCTGTCTAATTAATTTCGAATTTGGATTGGTTAATTAAGGCAATAAAATTTTGAAATTTGTAAAATAACCATTTATTTCATTTGTAACCCTTTATCATTTTACAGCTTATTAATTAGCTAACTCAAATCATTCATTAAATACAATGAATGTACACACCATTAATGGAAGAAAGAAAGAAAAAAATTATGCAAAATGGTTTTCACTTTTTTTAATCTTTGATTTTAATTAAATTTGGACAAAAAATTTGAAATTTTTAAAATAACATACTTAAGATGTGGTAAGGTATCCAGGAAGCAAGTAGCCAGAAAGATGCCACCAGCATAGCATGACATTATGGACATAATGACCGATGCCCTTCGACTCATTACACCGTTCGACACAATCATTGTCATGAGCTCAAATTGAACAATCTCAATCAAACTACGTTTAGAGACATAAATTGGATTAAATATCCGTCAGGCGGATCCAGCAAAATGCATCCGGATAGAGTTAATGTTTCGGAATAATATCGATAACCTTAGTATTACCGAGATAGATTTGTTTCAACATTTTTAGTGGCATTATCTTTTAACGCTTCCAAAACATTTTTATGGCTTTTTAATATTACGAATTAATTACTACTAATCAAAATGTGAAACAGTCCACCTAATTAACTTTGAAAATAATTAAAATAAACACCTAATAACAGGAGAATAATAGCCAGTTTCGTAGCAGTTTCTAATATGGCACATCACCAATGACTTATATCAAACATCCAAAAAAAAAAGAACTTTTGGCATTCGTTTTCTTTTATAAATTGCAAACTTTACAGACTTAATCGTACAAATTGTAAAACGAGTTATGCAACTTGCACGCACACCTTTTGCAAGTTGTGAACAAATCACGAACTTTTCTTCATTATTCAAACTTACTTTAAATGGAGCAAATCCAGCAATTGATGTTGTTAAGAACATTGCAATAGCGCAAATTATTTGCATAGTAAATTCATCCATTTCTGACTGTAAAGTTTTTCACTTGTAAAAGTTGTCAAGTTACAGTATCTTTTAAGTATAATATTCTTTTGGAGGATATTTTGTACATGGTAATATTTTAATCGGTAAAACTAATTACGGTAGAGCGAGAAGATTCCGGTTGAAAGCCAAGTATAATGCAGTTTTAAATGTTGAAAAATTTTCACACCTACCATGACGGAAATTTATTAATATCATTCAAAAAAATTCCATCGAATTTCGATAAAACGAGTTGCTTTTCCTATTGTATTATTTTAATTTTAAGAATTATCTTTAATTAATTAATTAGATTTTCATACCAACTTTACACATGCATTTCTTCGCAGATTTCATGATTCATGCATGAATCTTACCATTTGACATTAAAATTTCAGTTAAATTCGAATTAATTTAATAAAATCTAAAATAAAACCTTAAAACTGAGTTGACACTGTTCACTCCAATATCTAATTTCCTTTAGTATGTGACAGTAGAAGTAAGCTGAAATGAAAATTATTGGTAAAATTTGATATAATTTGAAAAAATATATGTAATAATAATAAACTGAACGTAATTGTTAGATCACAATGTTACAACAAGCTCGAAATATCCATTACTATAATAAAGTGGGCATTAACACGTAGATACATACGTGAGTAACTTCGAACGAAATCTAAAAAACTGAAATTTTTTTTGAAATAATTCAGGAATTTTAAACAATTTAATTTCCTGTGAAATTTCTAATGATCCAGTTGTTTCAAATATTGCACTGAGACAAAAAATGCTCCACTTATTAAGCATATTTCAAATTTTCGTTTCGATTTTATTCACTGTATTATGTGTTATGGTTGAATAAAAACGAACCAAATATTATGGAAAATTTAATTTGAGCTATTTAAAATTGAAAAGGATAATCGGAAAATAAATGTTATTTATAGGCATTTATCAAATCTGCAATTAAGTTCAGTATGAAAAATATAAGTGTAAATTTTCAAATGAAGTCCAAATGAAGGAAAAAAACTTTTAGGTTAAAACGATTCATAAGAATATGTAACTTATATTCTTGCATCAATTTATCATTCATACTTATTAAATTATAGACTCATTCAAAGTTACCAAATCAGGAATGCACAAAAAAACTTTCATATTTATACTTGAATTACATTTAAAAAAATCACATTGCTGTATTTAAATTTTAATTTATTTGTAGCATAAATATGAAAAGTTTGACATATTGATTAATAAAGTGTCAGAGAAGAATGAGAAATGAGAAATTAATAAGAACGATTCAAGCAAACATTAGCTGTGCTGTTGTTTCGATCATTTGACGGTTTGTTATCAGTCATACTGATATTTTGATTTAAAACGTGGACGCATACTGTAGTAAAACATTCACTGATCATTTCACTGATATTAGCTGTTATTATGGTATTTTGTCAAAGTTTACTTAGAATTCATTTGATCCATCTCTATTTCTATTATATTCCGATTATGTTTATTTAATTTATTATTATTATTATTATTATTATTATTATTATTATTATTATTATTATTATTATTATTATTATTATTATTATTATTATTATTATTATTATTATTATTATTATTATTATTATTATTATTATTATTATTATTATTATTATTATTATTATTATTATTATTATTATTATTATTATTATTATTATTATTATTATTATTATTATTATTATTATTATTATTATTATTATTATTATTATTATTATTATTATTATT